CAAAAGAAATAATTTAGATTTACTGGGGATATTAACTTGTTCACTGACATTGACTTAATTGCTTTAGCTTTTCTCAAAGACACTATATTTAGCTTTACACAATTCCTTAATGCACAACCAAATTCAACTATTCTCTCTAAGCGTCACGTCGCCATAAAAATCACGTATAATACATAACCATCACACGATATATTTAGTCGTAAAAGTGTATCATAAAAAATAATAATAATCATTAATACTGATTTATCTAAAGGACTATGATATTTTGGAGAAATGTAATTTATCAAGGCTTAACAAACTGTAACTAATTTTCCTTGTAAAATTGTATGTATGATGATAAAAATAACCATAATTGACTTCATCTTAATGAGTGGTTGTAGGAAAGGAAGGCACGTTACATTCATTTTACATGACGAATACGCCAATGGATTTCTCAGGAATAATTTTACGGAACATAAAGTCAGGTTTGTTTGGATCAAAGATGATGAATCTAAAACTTGGTTGTCTTCTGAAGAGGTGGCAATGACGCCTAAGATGTACTAAAAATAAACAAAATGTGAAGAGAACTAATAGCTGAATGAAAAAAGTAATTAGTAAAAGATCAAAACAAAATTACAAAAAAAAAAGACCCAATTTTTTTATTTTTCTGCAGGGAATGGATGAGTTTACTTGAATTCAAATTTGTTCAAATTTTCTTTGACAAAAAACTGTTGTATGCCCATATATAGTCATGATGTGCCTATATATGGTCATGATGTGATGTCATCATGACCATATTTAGGTATGTTGATGGTCTGGACAGAGCTTTACAAAAACACAGTGTTATTAAAAATTTTTTCTGCGATGCTTTTCTGAACGTACTGTAATTTCCTTTTGGACAGAATAAAGAAATCTGAATCTTAAATTGCTTTTATGTATTAGTTTTAATTGTTAAATAGTTACAAGTAGTTTACAGCCACGATTTTTAAATGATGTACAAGTAATTTATGACTACAGCTGTGACTTGGTGGTTATGGTGCCTTGCTTTCAATCCAAAGATCCTGGGAAGAAGTCCTCCTCATGACCAGAAACAAATCCACTCCCTAAGCCTCAAAATGCATTTTTTCTACGAAATACCATGTAATAATTCATGCCTACAAGTCAATTTAAGGGTGTTCTTAAAGAATCCATAAGTGGTAACTGTATAATACAGAAAATATTTACTCTCTTTAAAATTTTGAATTAAGCGATAAATAATAAAGATATCCAATAATGAATTATAGTTTAATAACTTAACAGACAGTTCATTTTTTAATAAAAACATATTATTGTATTTAGTTATTATTTGATCAAGTAAAGACTTGTATTTGAGCACACATGATCAAGTTGTTCATAATATATGCATGCAGCGAAATCTGCTGAGCCAATCGCTAATTATGTTCAGTCAGATTTCATACAGGAACAATTCCAATGTACCACCCCGTCCTGCTTTAGATAACGTGAATAACCGATTATACAACTCAAATGTTGCCCTCACTCTAATTCATCATTCTCAATTACCTGTGGCTACAATAATTACTTGCTTATTGTCTGTAACTATTCTAATTAGCTGTTTATCGCTAATGGGTAAAGCTAACTTGCTGGTTACAATTTAAAGATTTATTCTAACCAGCTTCTTATCACACATATGAGATATGATAATTAGCTGCTTATCATCACCAATTATTATGCTAATTAGCTATTACCACCAGGGAATATGCTAATTAACTATTTATTAACTGTGGTTAAGCTAATTAGCTGCTCATTAACTATGGATTATGTAAATTTGATTCTCATCACCTAAGGATTTATGCTAATTGGCTGCATATAATCTATAAATTATGCTAATAATATACTCATCATTTATAATTATGCTAATTAGCTACTCATAACCCAAAATATGCAAATTAGCTACCTATCATCTGTGGGTTATGCTAATTAGCTACTTATCACCTATGAAAATAAAGATCCTGACATTTGTATAGTCACGTCTTTCTACAGTAATTAGGCATTCAATAATATTGATCTCAATAAAACTTGACATTATGGTATCCATGGCAATACAAATGACATCTGTAAAAGTTACCATATTAATTGCAAAAATGTTCTAAAAATAGCAACACTATACCTTTCAATTTCTGCCAATTTTCTCATATAATTAAGTTCCAATTAAAAGTTTCATTTTATATGAGAATACTTGCTAGAATGTATTAAAAATGGTTGATTGATCTTTCTACAAATAATGTTAAGGTAGGGAGAGGGGCTTTTTAAAATGTATAATACATTTAAAAAGCCCATCCCATTATTCTAAATTTGTATTGATGGTTGTTTAATTGAAAACATGCTAACTATAAATTTTAGAGTATGCAATGTTATATGCCTCTGAGAAATTTTATTGGATATGAACGTATTATTGTCTGTTTATTAACTTTTTTCCCCATGAAAAATTGATGTTTTTTTTCTTACATTTCAAAATCATTAATGGAGACGATAAACTAAAATGACAACTAAATAAATCAAAAATATATTAAAATTTCAAATTCTTTTTTAGATAGCTAAAAGGTGAACATTTATTTCTGCACCAACAGAGGGCGCTATAACATTTAACAAATGTTAGCATAGCATGATGTATGGTACTGTAATGAGTTCAAAACCACAACATTTTATCACTTATTATCCAATCAAAATACACTGCACAACATGTGAATTTCAATAGAATCATTGTATGTTTATATTGTTAATATTAAATTATTTAATTTAAACAAAAATAATTATAATTCAAATGTAATTACCAGTACATCATAAATCACACATTGCAGATTTCTAATAACACACATTAAAATATAGGTATCCCTCTAGGTAAAGGCCCCTCTAAGTTAAGACCAATCCAATTAATGACCACCTCTAATTAAAGACCACTTTTCTGTAGTCCTGAATTAACAAATGTGTTTCATCTTTATTATTCTAATTAGAGACCAAAACTACTAAAGATCATCGAAACCCTATTCTCAACAGTGGTCCTTAATTGGAAGGAGAGCTGTATTGTCAATCGTTTATTCTTACTGATTTTGTTTATCATTTTTATTTTTTTTAATGATTCTGGGACCACACCCATTTGGGTGGAAGTTGTAACACAACCTGTATCACAATAAGACTTACTACACAACTCCAAATGGCAACATGCAAGTCGAAGATTTATTAATGTCAACGACCTAACGAGGGCGATCACCTTCTACGAAGCATGTGTACTTTAAATATATTGAAATGCATTCAAAATAGATACATCAAGTTGGTTTACCTCTTTTTAACAAAATAATTTGTCATGTTTGCCGCTAGAGGGGGAACATTCTCATAAACTTTGAAACAACATGAGTGAGAATTTTATTTAGTAGAAGTGATAATAATGATGTATTGGTTTGAAAAAAAGAAATGAAAGGGACAAAAAAGGTTGCATTGCCATCAAAAACATGATAATTTTGAACACTGTAAGGAAATACTTGATTTATCACAAGATAAATTATACATCAATTTTGAATCCATATTAGTACACTCAATGCATGGTATGCACTTTTGGTTCATCCACTTCCTATATTGCAAATGCAACTTTTCTATGTGCTGTTAATGCAATATGTTATTAAAAATAAAGTCTTGATTTAATTTGTCATTTACAGCGTAGGGGATGTTTTTATGAGTAAAGGGGTGGTCAATTTGATATGTCTGAAATTTACTTTAATTTGATATAATACTTCACTTCAGTACAGAAAAAGAACTATAAATAAAAATGAACACTATGCCACATACTAGCCAAGGGAACTAATTAGTTTTTGCTATTTGATGTTGTTTTCTTTTTATTTCACTTTTGAACTTTTAGTTTTGTATAATTTGAAATATTGAAACTTTGATACTTCTGAATTTTTAACATTCAAATGACACAAAAACTTGGTTAAAATTACCGGAAAGGATAATCCTAGTCTTTTAAAAAAGAAAGTTCATTATTCCATGTTTAATCTACTAATTACTAGGATTAGGAAAAATTTATTTCACTTAATTCTTATTTATTTAAAATTTAATTATTTTTTATAATTTTTTAAATTTATTATTTTAACATATGGACTAAGAATTGTCAATAGTGAATTAATCCCATTTACCTGTTATGATATTTAACAACTTATCAGAATTGTCCAGTGGCGGATTGTCCTACCTATCTTTCAAGCCGTTGATGTGAAGCCCGATGGAAGGCTTAGACTGTCACCTAACAGGAGCCTAGCTAAGTGTACACTCCAACCTAAGACAAAAGGCATGAAGCCCAGTTGCCTAGACTGTCAGTTTCTGAGACATCGTGTTAGCAATGTACTACGTGAAAAATTACCATCTGCCCTGATGTCATGGGAGAAAGAAATGAATCTGTTTAATGTTTGACAAAAATTCTGACATTTCGGCTAAACTCGCCAAGATTGCCTACATTTATCCGGTCTAATGTTACACTGTATCAGAGACTACATCTTCTTTTAAGCCAAGTTTTTGTATGTGGAAAAAAAAAAAAAAAAATATCGTTTTGTTAAACTTTGAAATGATCCTTCTACAAAATGATATCGCAATATTCATTCTCTGAATTTAACATTTTTCAAAACTTGATTCCATTAATTTCTTTACTATTATTAGTATTAAATTGTCTACAGAATGATATTCGTAGCAATATTAATTCGCTGACTAAAATTTTTCAAAACATGATTCCATAAATTTCTTTACTTGTATTGAATTGTATTTTAATGATTATTCTGTACATTTTTATAAGTTAAGTTTAATTAGATAAGTTTATATTTTCATCACTGATTTTCTTTAAATAAGAAAGACCAATGTATTTACACTGACTTGTTGAGTATCCAGAATATAAAAGTTGTCTATCTTCTATCTATAATGTAGACAAATTAAAATATAATTTTCAAAAATTAAAAAAAAAGTTTTTAATAAAAATTACTTACTCATTTGACTGTTCGTCAGTATTCTTCTCTGGGTGTTCTGGTTGTTTTTCTATAATAAAAAGAGAACAGAATCATAACTTTGAACATTTTTAATTACAGTATTATCAACATCATAAATAAATGGACAATTGTTAAAAAGCTTTTTAAAAAGATAAAATAGAAAAAAATACTTCCGATTATTCGTAATATCTGTACCACCACTGGTCTATGTGATTTTTGTTTTTCATTCTGTTATTTCAACCTCATGCATTTATTTTCTACACAAACTTATCACAATTATCGGATTCTAGCAACCGTGTAATATAGTTCTATGTTTAGATGTACTGTATATTTATGGTTACTTGTTAAGGATTGTTTTGCTTCCTTCTAAGCCTGTATCCTTCTCTCCTAGGAGCAGACCTACAGAGCAAATGCCACCTAAGATAAGGCTTTTGGATGCAGACAGCTAAGCACTCTTGACAACATTATTTGGGGGCTAGAAAGGGGATTTTACTATCAAACAGTTGGGATCAGGGCACAGTTGAAAAAGAACAAGTTAGTGTCTCTCTCACCCTAATAAAAAACCTTTGTGGGAAGGGGAAACGAACTTATACCCTCCTTAAAACTTATCTCAAATCAATAATTTTTATATCTTTAAGTGCCAGTGACAAATATTTTATAACAGGCGCTATAAAAATTATTATTAAGTGTTAAAAATCACCCCATTCTCCCAGCTAGCTCCTTTAATTTCCCCATAACGCCATCACCTCCATCAGCCCATTAAGTCATTATGCCTAGATATGCCACAGGAAGTTTAGTATAATGAGAGCATGTGAGGGTTTATAAAATAAACTAGGTTTTTTCAAACAAAAAAAACAAAAAAAAAATGTTTGATAGTTATTGACAATGAAGCATATGACATACAAGTCAAATGTCTACTCAAATTTATCTAGCCATTATACCCAGGAAAAGCTTGAATATAAAGCAAAATTCCAATAAACATTAAATTAATCACTTATTAAATTATTTTTTTTTAAACAGGCTAAAGCAGGAAATGCAATCAAAAAGATTTTTTTTTTTAATCACATCAATTTAATGTCAATTATTGTTGTCTCTAGATACTGTCTATAAGTATATGCATATAAGCTTAGCCTATAAGTAGAAGGCTGTCTACTGCCTTGGTATAAAAGTGTATAGAAAATGAAGAAATTATCTGTCTCTTATACACATCTAGATGTGTATAAGAGACAGGGCCTATTATAATATAAATTTATAATTAAAAAAACAATTATAAAAAAAATAAAAATTAAGGTAAAAAGTAAAGGTAGTATTCATTACTGGACGTAGAGCAATGAGCTGTTAGCCCATCGCACTAAGCCTTGGCATTGTGTGGTAGGGTGGCCATTTTCTTTCTTTTTTTCCTCCCCAGTAGTGAACCAGCGGGTACCCATTTATACTCCTGGGTGGAGAGAGACAAACATAGGTAAAGTGCCTTGTCCAAGAACCAAGCGAAATGCATAGCGAAAGTTCAAACCCCTGACCTCGAGGTTCAGAGACCGAAACTCAACCACTGCTATTTAATAACACGCAATAATTTTTATATGATAGTAATATTAATAATACATATAGAGTAATTTAAGCAAATTTTAATTTGATTATAATAATTATTCCAAAAATTAAAACAGTAATTATTAATAGTTACTGTCATACTTAATCTTATATTCAATATGTATTACATAAATTTGAAATATATAATAAATCAATGCTTCAGTAAATAAGCAGATTTTAATATTTTAAAAACAAATTTTTCATTTGCTAGCTTCGACTATAAACGAACACCTAGTATAGTAATTTATTAGCATAGAATTTTTATAGATCTTCATCAATTCTATTTAACTGCTAATTCCAAACCATAAAGGTTTGTTTATCCCAAATTTGGATTTTATAGCTTTGCGCAGCGACAATAATAATCAGTCATATATAATAATAACTTTATTTTTACATGGATATAATTTTAAACTTCTTCATTTTTCATTTTAGAATTATCGTGTTAATCCTTATATTAGTTTACCCGGCTGAGTTACACAAGTGTCGTATTCTAGCTGGAATTTACAATCACCAAGGGACGATCTTCAATCAGATTCTGACATTCGAAAAAATTGTTAAGGAAGCAGATACAAGCGTCCCATATCCTGATTCGGGATTCAACCCAATGGAAGTCATTACAACCGATGTTCCTTAAGTTGAATACTTTAATAATGGGGTCAGTTCAAGCATTGATAAATAATAGGGTAATTCCACGCTTGAGTGATGAACTGAACGCAAAACAATCTCTCTCCTTGACTCTAACTTGTGCACTCGTTGGCATTACAGCCAAACGTTTATAGTTGATCAACCAACATTCCAAAATAATTTTTTTTTACTATAAACATTTCATTCTATATTAGGCGAGAGTTTTTTTTTACATTATTTAGCGAATCCGCCGACTACAGATATTGATGAGGTTATTTTTGGCCTATTAGTGCACCCGTGGAAAGTGGAAATTTCAGAAAAAAAATGAAAGTTTTTCTTTATTTTTTATTATGCCCTTCGCTGCCTTGAAATCTCAAAAGGTAAGATATGTATATTTCTTCCCAGTTATATAAATTTGAAGCACTTAACCATCCTAATTTACATCCACTAATAAAATTGTATTTTTATTTTCTCCTCCATCTGGATGTTTTTGGCAAAAATAAAAACATTAGCTAAATAAGAAAACAAAATTTTATTTTTATTTTTATTCTGCCCTCCTCCGATGATCTTTAAAAAAATAAGTATGCAAAACAAAGAATAAAAGAAGTCTTGCCTTGGATAAAAAAAAATTACTTTTATTGTTAGTTTTCGTTAGTGTTTTTGCCACAACAATTTGCAAGTTGTATTTTTGTGTCCAATGTTACATAGTTAATTTAAAACCACCATAAAAAGGCAAATCATTTTTTGGGATTTGTTTTATTTTATAGCTAGGTACTAATGTGTGTATGAAAAACATGAAATGGAAAAAATATTCTCATGAGGAGCAGAGAATCATCAGAGGGAGATAAACACAAATGACAAAAAAAATTCTCATCAAAGTAATAAAAACAAACATGTGAAATCCATCTACAAATCGATTACAGACATGACAGAAGAACAATCTTAAAATATCCTCTTTTCGGCAGGGTTAACCACCTATTACATATGTGTGATATGTCTAAAATTTCCAAATGGAAAAATAATACCTGAAAAAATGCCAATTCAATGCCAGAATTAAGATTCTGACTGGAATTTGCTAAGATCCAATTTCAACTTGCATGGGAGGAATATTTGTTATGATGACGGCAATGAAATCAAAGTGGCTTTCCATTGGAATAACTGAACTGAGAGGTTATATGGCCAGCGCATTTTTGCCGATTCTGTTGATACGTACCGAAAAACCTTTCTCACAGTACACCTTATTTATAATTTTTATTTACTACGATGATGATGATAGTGATAATATAGTAATGATTAAGGTGATAAAGATGGTAATATGGTGATAATGATTACAATGATGATGGTGATGATGATGATGATACTGGTAATGACGATGATGATATAGTGATGATGAGGGTGATAATGATAATAATATGATGATGATAGTGATTATGTGGATGATTCTGACAATACCAACGATGATGATGATGATGGTGAAAGGACAATTAGTATGATGATGATGATGATGATGATGACTATGCCAACAATGCTGGCAATAGTAATGATGATGATGATGACGATAAAGATGGCGAAGCAATGTTGGTTAATGCGTAATTATCAAAAATGTTTTTAGTCAAAATATTAAGTTGTTTATACTTACTATGTGGAGCTATCATTGCCGGTCTGGAGTGGCCTGATTCTGTCTTGATTGTCTGCTAAGAAATAAGAAATTAAATTGAAAAGAAACAGTTACATTAACTGCATTTTGTTGTCAAAAGACAGCACATTTATCACCGTCTTTACACAATTTATTGAAAGATCCACTACGGCTGCAAAATATCTTACAACTGATTTTGCCATCGTAAATATTTGCATAACTATGACAACGGTCGTAGCAAATGAAAGGTAGTAGGGCAAAAGTAGATACAATCATATTGTACTCATTACAAAACAGAAAGCCATCATGAAGCTGTAATTGGAGATAAATGTGTACACATCTTACTTTCTCGTAATTTATTTAACAGTTGTAATTCCCCCTTCCCTCTGTCCCCTCACTCTCTAACATTGTGTTGCGTTTTATATATACTCATGGTTGCTTTTATCTGTGTATGTAGAAAATGGAAATCAAATTATACTTTACATGTTGGACCAATACATTTATTTCTATGTTGATCGATATGTAACAGCTATATTATTTAATATAAATTATTATTATTATTATTTGTAAATTTGTGTAGCCTTGATTCAGGTTGAATCACTGAATGAACGATTGATCAACTTTAATGTACCATGAAATTGGATAACTTTTCTTAGAATGTACACAATTTTTTTTTTTTACTTTTTTGAACCACCTGCTAATACAACTCGCATGAAATAGACGACATAAAAACATAAAATTTCTCTCAAACTACCATTATACATTCTTTTGAACAAGCCAATATATAATGTAATGTGATCTTCTTTACAGTTGAAGGGATATTAAAGAAAAAAACTGCTCTATCTCCGATCTCCCATAAAGAATTACAGCTATCTCATCTGACAGTTTTTGTTTGGCGAGAACCTCTCGGATCCATTATGTGTGAAAGTCACATGCAATGATTCATACATGCAGACACTACACGTATATCACCAAAATGTGCCATGTAATACTGTAACCAGAACATTTACATAATGAAGCAATCAAACTTGGATAAATTCATTTCATTTTTCCAAGGTTATTCCAGGTTGGCATTCAAGAACAGCTAGTTATCATATCACAATTATACAAGGAGATTTTGGTGGGTTCAGAAAGGGGCTCAGGGAAATACTGGGGACAGGTGGGGAACTACAAAGGGAATTGTACCTCTGTCAGACAGACATGGATCCCCTATTATCAGATGCCACTTGGAGGAATCGGACTAAAATGATTAATATGCCAAACCAACTAGAAATATGTCATCAGAGATCTTAATATTGTGGTGTAAAAGCACAATTTTTTTTTTCATCCTGAAACCTGGATGTTTGTTGGAGCCAGTTTAATGTGACTAGAATGGGGTTAGTGGAGAATAGTGGGCCTTTATGGATTGATGAAGGGATTTGAATCCGGCTGGGGGGAGGGGAAGGGGGAAGAGAAGGAATACAATGGGGTTAACTGTCTGTTGGGGATATTTTTTTATAAATTGTACTTTTAATTTGTTTAATGTATGATATATATTATAATTAGTCTCTACTGGCCTTGATAATAATAAAAAAAATTAAAGTTCTTTTAATACAGGCAGTTCACCCTTGTCATTTCTAACCTAACAAAATCCAGAATAGAGTTACTATGGCAACTAAATGATTGACACATTATCTAAATGCATCTTCCAGGATGGTAGTTCAAATCATACAATTTTTCAGTCCTCATACAGGCATGCAGGCAGGCGGCCTGTCTCCAGTTACAATACAGCAGACACATCCTAATCATCAGTAACCGCTCGTTAACTCTCTATGTTTAGCGAGAAATTCATTTGCATAAATGCGTCTCATACAACCCTGCCACCATCTAGGGGCCAGATGAATGATGGATAGAGGCTGATAATTTATAAACTGTTACAGATAATTTCCGCGTATTTTATCATCCCATAATTACAAGATTATTTGAGTTGCAATGACCTCTGTCACGAAGAGTATGTAATAATTAGGCAAAGAACCAAAACACATGTTTCTCGTTTCATCATTAAAAAATAAAATTGGGCCACTGTCTCTTCATTTTAAAAATTTATTTGTTTTTAAGTTAGTTCTGTCAACAATAATATCAGATTTTCTGGTTTGATTTGAAAGTAATAAAAAATATATCATCAACTTCAGAAAATATAATTAAATTATAATACAACGTGAATAAACAATAATGAAAAACTAATAATATGGTAAATAATATTTTTTTTTTCATATTTTTATTTAGTAAATTAAAAATAATCACAATAATAATAATAATAATTAAATAATAAAAAATAATAAAACAATAACAAAAATAAATTTAGTTTCTATGGTGAGGCAATTCGTTTTCAAATCTCTCCCATTTTCCAAAAAAAAAAAAAAAAAAATATCATTAATAACAATTCTTAGTATAGAACTGGCATTGAAAAAAAAAAAAACTAGTTTAGTAACTTTTATTACAATAATATAAATGGAACATGTAAAACAAAAGAAACTTTAGTCTATTTTTCAATCAACTGTTCCCCTAAAAAAACAGGAAGTGAGTAATTTCTTGACACGCACTCACAAAAAAACAAATTTATCTGTGTTTACCTATCATGCTAACTTTGGTGCCTAGCACTTGCTTTGATTCGTCTCCTTTATGCCTCACCTCGTGACCTAGGTCAAACTGTTTGTGATTCCGAGCGACAGGAGATGACAGTTAAGTATCTCAATTCATAATTTCAACGATTTAAAGTCGAGGATCAAAAGATCATACAGTCGCCTCGTTTGTGTTGGTTGAAGTTTACATTATACATGGAATATTGTTGGTAGGAGATAATTCCCCGCCCCTACCTCCCACTCCTTAAACAAACATGTGTGCCTATGAAATACATTCCTGGAGGAATTTCAATGAAAGTATAACTGTATTATCACTTTTACTGCCACCTATAACATTGCCGGGTGGAGCTGATAGGGCATGCTTACAAAGGAGAATTTGCGTAGTATAATCTTAACACCTGTATCATAAATTACATAGGCTGGCATCCCAGAATTGCAAAAACTACTTAGCCAACAGTACAACGATGATGTACTACTTTTATGGGGAAAAGTAGTTTTTTTTTTTTTCTTATCCTTCTTCATGAGGATTTTTTCGGAACAAAATGTCCAAGACATCTCATGCCTAGATTGGACGATGGGACAGAAATACAAAATTCCCCATGGCACATTAAAAAAATGGGTCTAGCAAAAAATAAAAAAGCAGGGTATAGCAAAAAAAAAAAAAAGTACTTTTTTTTATCACTACTCGGATAAATATTTGGATCTGTATAAATTTTTTTGGTGTTTGTTTTATTAATTTTTTATTATAACGTTGAAAACGTAATGCAAGCGATTTCGAATGCGTACATGTGTAATTCTGCACGGACACCACATCTACAAACATGCATGAAAAATGATTAGCAAATGGACTCAAAGGTTGTAAAGGCAAAAACAAAACTATACAGCAATGACTTGTCATTAAAAGACACGATTAATGAATCGTTTTTATAGAGCGAAGCACACCATAGAGGAGCCGCGCATGTATTAAGTCAGGAATGTTGGGCTTAGCATAACATACTTGATTTTTTTTCAACAGTGCGAACAATACCACAGTGGCGCCACAGAAGCATTAAGTAAAAAATGTTAGGCTTAGCATAACATACTTTATTTTATAGAGTGAAGAACACCACAAAGGAGACACAAATGTACTATATTATGTCAAGGAGATTAGGTTGAACATAAATTTGCTTTTCATCAAACTGAGGTAGAAAACAACATATACTAATATGTATTTTTAAACGACATGCCTTAACATGTCATAATTCGAATAAAAAATAATTTTTAAAAACCAGATGAAAACAAGATTTTTGGCCGTATATTGACATTCTTTACCCCTATACATGCATTCTTTGCCCATATTATTGGCGTTAGTTGGTAGAAGAATATTTTTAACATTCTCGCTTTTGCTCCAGTCGCATCACCCCATTGAAAATGATAAAAAAAAAAAAATTAGTTAAAAAATTTACCTTATATCACTTTATTTTGCTACCTAGCGCCCCTTACTTAATCATCAAGCCCCCCACTTCACCTTTGCTTCCCCCATCAGCCCCGATTTGAAGACTCCTATATACGCCACTAGTCCGATGCCATTACATGTATTTATCACATGTCATTTGAATAGAAGCAGTATATGCGCTGAATGTTGCAATGGGATTTACAATGCTAGAACTAGCACTTTGAAAATGGTAATAAGAACGTTAGATAGGCTTATATTCTGATTCTCCTCATTATGTCCCGATATCATTTCCGTCTTGCCACTTGAAAATGAAATATCGCAGTTAGTATCTGCATGCGCAAACCTGTCAAAGTTAATACGCTGATTAGCTTGTTGGTTCTGTCGATATTACATACGTTGATTATTCTTCAAAGCAACTTACATGATGCAACTTTATTCTAAACCTTAATCCACACTATCAAATTTTATGTGATGACAAATGTGTGTGATATGCCTCTATATATGGGCATCATGATGTCATATTACACCCAAATATGGGCATATCAGTTTTTTTTTTTGTCACATAATTTCATAGTATGGACACAGATTTATAACAACATAAAATAAAACTGGTTGCTTGATACATTAATCAAATTCAAGATATTTCAAACGAACAAGAGATTTGAACACAATAAAACTCAAGTGAAAATTTACATTTTTAACTAATGCTATTAAAGATAAACAATCTGGATTTATGATTAATCAAAATAGTGCCAGATCTCTAATTTTAAGATCATAAGTTCGATCCTTTTCAAGGTCAATTTCTTTTTAACCTTTTTTTATGTTTTTCAAGGTAAGTCTATATTTATGTACATACGTAGCAGTAACTAAACTAAAAACTTTGTAATTCCGGGTGGACTATAATAATCCAAGACTTTCATCCTATCAGACGAGGAGTGTTAGCTAATTTCCTCAACCTATTTTGAGTGCATCCTGACAGCAGGGAGTATAAACTTTTCTGGACCAAACATCAACTGGAAATACAATTTGGTTCCGAATGGAATGTTGAAGTCTCTCCCATGCTGTGGCTCAAAATCATTTTTGTGATTATTTTTGAGTTGAAATTAAGAGAAGTGTAAGAAATGTCATATTTCACAAACTGCTTGTTCTAATATGACTTCAATTTTCTTTGATTGTGAAGCTCTGATATTTAAATGATGGAAAATGCATGAGTTAAAGGCTTTTATATTTGTACCAATTTAGAAAAGAAGGTTAAATAATAAAAAATTATTCTATACAGATTTCAGTATGAATTTTAGTAATCAATTTTTAATATTTTATTTTAAAGTATAATAGTTTTTTTTGCTTTATTGATATTTATTTGAGCCTCTAAATTACCTAAAACATCTTTTAATTTATTTTTTTTGTATCTATTATTATTTTTATTATTGCTTTTTATAACTCAGAAATGTTTTAGTTTTTTATTTCATTTATTTTGTATTTATTATTATTATTCTTATTATTATTACTATTAATAATATTATTATTATTTTAACTCGATACACCTTAGGCATAATGAACTAATTAAGTATAAATGTATTATTTTCACAAAAATTTAAAGCAAAATAATAGAGGGCGCCCTTGCTCTGACTTCTGATTTAGGCTATATTGATCGTTAGTTAATTGGAATGTAAACAGTTCATAACCAGTGTGTTAGATATCCTTTGAAAGCTTTTTATTTTTGTTGATTCTATTCAAATATTCAACATTTATACTTTCTAGGGAAAGACATTCATTATTCCCCAGTTCTTATTCAGTCATAAAAAAAATGAAACTCAAATTATAGAAAAGCGTTATCAAGTATCAAATATGTTAAAGATTCCATGTACATGGCTGATACGTGCGACATGATCTTTATTGCGTAACCCTAGACCATCATGAACGAGTGAATTTGATTGGGTTTACGACTCCAATAGATATTTTGCGTGAATTTAATGGCATTCTCAGGTTCTATGACAGTGTTGATGTCTAGATGGCCTAGAAAATGACGGAAGCCCCCACAGGATCCCAGATACAGTCCCAGGGTTCAGGTTCTGGTGATTACGGTGTTGAAGAAGATATGTTGCAAACAGTAGGATTAAATAATGTGTATGCTATTATTGCTATTAGGTTATATCACTTCATTTACTTTCCAAAAAAGCAAATGATATAGAAACGCAAGAAACACCAGGCCTATAAGGTATAGGATTTGTTGTAAAGACAACACTTCACTATTGAAGTTGATGTCTGTTGGGATTGAAGCCATTCAAGATATTTTATTGTTTTTTTAACAAAACTAAGTAAAAATATAAAGTACTGTTAATTATAGGGAAACGAAATTAATTTAATAAATAATTTGAATCAACTTCATACTATAATCTTTACCAGTACTTGAACCTGTTTTTTCCCCTTACGGAATCAAATTTATGTCCTATGTCTGCTGCCCTCTAGAGACCAACTGAATCAGTTGAATATAATTTACATAGATTATCCCATGACTATCATTCTGTCTTTGTTAATACAGAAATAAGTGAATAGTTCAATATTTGTGGCACTGTCTATCAATCAATCAGTCAAATCAGTCAGTAGATCATTTACTAGTCTCTATTCCGACAAATTCTACGTCCTCTAACATTAAAATATAATGGAGATTGAGATTAAAATAAACAAAATGTCCACACCAGAAATCTCCATTTATGGATATACAGAATTAGAAAATTTTAAAATTTTATTAAAAAAAAAAAAAAAAAAAAAAAATTCTGTAGAGATACTATGTCTGAGTTAAGCTAAAATGTTAATATGTGAACTACATATTTTTAAAATTCATTATAAGGTTTCAGTTTGAAATTAGTGAGGGAAAATTATCTGCTACTCATAAAAGTAATACCTTTCCTATATAGCCCTTAAATTGGTTGGTAACCAAAATTATTTTAATAGTCAAATGTCTTTAAATTAGTTCACACTTATTATTTTTGATCATTGTATAATTAGAAGTTACTAACTTACTTGATCTTTCATAACAAGAAATTAAATTTTAAAATTTTAATTTTTAAGATATTTAAATTTCACAGTACAGTATATTTCAATTGCTGCTACATTATTAAAATGGATGCGTTAACAATTTTTTCAATGTTAGTCTCTATTCACATGGACTAAAGATGATTAAATTATTTAAATAATGCATGAAAATTATATCCAGCTACGTGTAAACAGCACGTGTGTTTAATAAGCCGATCACCAGTACACAAAAGGTGGAAAGACCTGTTCCTCGTCGCACTTGAACTGCGGACAAAGCCCCAGCGACCTTGCGTGAAACATAATCTTTACAAGCCCATAAGAGACTATTGATCTTCAGTTGAATGCGATTTTTTATTTGTTGTCTGATGAATGTCTATCGTTTACATCGTCGATCAAACTGTTGACAATGTTTATGTTCGGAATCAAAGGTAATCTTACAATGTAATGGTACTAAATACAAAAGATTATAACAAAGTCCCAATACACTTAGAAAGAAAACAAGGAGGAATATATGAAACATCTATAAAAACCACGGCTAAACTGATTAAATTATTTACATTAGTAAAGTATTCATCTAGTTAATGTACTAAATCAGATTTAGAATCGTCCGTGCTTAATTTTGATGTCATTTTGTTGTCTGGTGAGGAAGGAAAGGGTATAGTACTCAAGTCTACATGTATACAAGTAAACAGGAAATTGTGGGGAGATGACAAATACTGGTTAATAAAAATAACAACAAAAAGAGAAATCATTAATAATAAAGATAATTATAACAATATTGTTAATATTTGATTATAAAATTATTTTAACCAACCAAAAAAGTACTTAAAGGATGTTAATATTAATATATTAATGTGTTAATGTTAAAATTGATATTCAATGGTTTATTGATAAATTTAACAATGACAATAACATTACCTGTTGTAATTGACTACTAATTATAACAATAATATTAAAAGTAATACAATTTCTTATAATCTCTTGTAGCCCCTTGTTGAGTAGCCCTTGATGTGTTTATAAATACAAATATGGACATAAAAACATACCATAATTTATTTTTAATGATTGTGTCTGAAAGGTGATTTTCCCTCCTTCCTTGCACTGTATGAAGGACAGAACCATATACCTAAAAAATATACCTTGCTCAGGGTTGAAGCTGTCATTAGCCAAATCATAATAAAAACGGAATTTCGCTAAATATTTTCATTGAAAATTAGCCAAAAAGCTAATGGAATCAAAGCTATCAGTGCTTAAATTCTTTTCTTTTTGGCTAATCAAATATCTATTTGGCTAATTATTTTCATATAGAAATAGCCAAATTGCTAAATATTTTGTTTGGCCAGCTTAAACCCTGGCTTGCTATGAAATGAAGATAGGCTTGTAAATGATCTGTTCAAATAAATACTAAAGGTATTTAATAAACGTGGCTAACCGCCATTTGACGGTCACCTACCTGCGAAAATGGGAACTGTGTTTGCGTTGGCTTGCTTGGCGTAGGAAGTGCAGTGAGTGGACATTGGATATCTATCATTTCCTGCGAGAGAGAAAGCAATTTCTTTACCATTTAGCATAAACTGTGCAAAAATATTATTATTACATGGTCAGACAGTGTTTGGGTCAAGCAACATGTTTCATGCTATAACTACCAGTCTCTTTGGCAGCCTAATTATCAAAATACTACACAGCAAATTAAAAAAAAAAAATATGCACTTAAATAATTGATTAATAAAAACAACTATAAAAACATTAACAACTTATATAATAGTTAACTACTGTTAATAGTTAGTAGAAGTAGTGGTAAATGATTTTCACTAAATTGAGACTTTCTGTTAGGATGGTCATTTTTGCTCTAGATGTCAAAAACATATTTTTTTCTTTTACAATATTGAGCTAGCTTCATGTCATGTTTACATTGCCTTTTGTACAGGTCTATTCATTTCTATTTTCTCCTCTTTTCCTCTAAAGAAAGTCTGGTGTTTTTGGTCAATTCATTCATTAGTTTTCAATATCATTTAATTATTATTTTCTTTATTACCACACTTCTCTACTTTACTTATATGATTCTAGATATTTATTTTCTGGTACCACTATGTAATATGCATTTTTCAATTTTTTTTTTCACTGGAACACATCCATGTTTCTACTTCTGCCCCTTCCCCTTCTTCTTCTGATTTAAAGTTCAATTAATAATAATGATAACAACGAGCAATACCATATTATGGGTTAACATACTACGTTTTTATGAGAGCAATTACAATAATCTTTATACGCTAATACAAAATACAAGGACAGTTTACCCTCATATATCAGATAATGCTATAAAATATATATATATGACTATAAAAACATTATTATCTGTTACAAGATCTCATTATATAAAAGATTTATAATAAATACTGTACATTTAAAACATATAAAACACATAGATATACTAAAATAACTAACATACAACAATACAATAACAAGATATTATTCTAGTGATGACGTCTGAATCAACTCAATCGAAATGTCAAGACATTCTCAACAAAACAAAAGATCTTTTTAGAACGTGGTACAGTACACTGCAAGCATTTAATATTTTATTACTTCGCCATGCAAACCTTCAAAGAGAACTACAACTAAACATCATTATCTACTATTATGAACCTATTTTAGAGATACAGATAGAAGGAATAAAACATAAACAATGATTTGGTGAAGGATTGTATTGTTATTGTGTCAATGACAGGAGCATGATTCTGAACTCTAGACCGTGATCTCTCTCATTCTGTGTCCATATCGCACTCTGTCAGTGTACACTGTACACCATGAGTCTTAATTACAAAGCAAACACCAATTCCATGATAAGCATTAAGTCTTGTTGCGCACCTCATCTCATTGATGCTAACAGCTGCCGACCGCTAACCTCTCATCTCTCACAATACTCTCTTATCTGCAACAACGTTCTTATCTCTACATTAACAAGCATCCAGGTTTCCGAACGCCACATTTCGCGCAGGAACAGATTTTTCAAGCAGATCCCTGACTGAACAGCCACTTTCTCACATCAGGATCAGTTGCTATTCATTTAAAATAATTTTTTTCATCATTTCCACTAATTTCCCTTGTACATTTTTTGTTCACTTCCTCAATATTTTATGAATGAAATGAATTAACATTATTAATCAGCTGTAATAAAATTAAGTGATTTGACTAGCACTATGTATAGGCCTATTGTGAAATTATTTAGAGAAAAAATTTAAAATTGTCTTTTCGAAGTTGGTTTAAGAATTTCGTAGTCACATATCAACCCCCAAGTTATTAACTATAATAACTAACAATAATTAGCCATTTTAAGAATAATAAAGATATTACTACAGTAATTGTTATTACTACAAGCATAAGATACATAATATTTATTGGCAATTTCAGATAAAAATAAAAAGCCAAAGTAGGTAAATTAAACAAAGCTTACTGTCTTTCCTTTATTATAGGTTAAAAACACATTAAACAAATAAAAATAATAAAAATAAAGAAAGACATGAAATGCTTTTACTCATTCCGACTTAAAGTATAATAAATTATGCTAATTTCAAAAACTTTAAAATATACTATAAATATTATATTATTTATAGTATCCAACAGTGCAAAGGTTATTACAGAATGTGAATATAATTTATAAAACAATTTTATCATAATTTAAAATGTAAAACCATTATTAAAAAAATGAGTAAAAATAACACTAAATATCAATAACAATATAAGAATAATAGTAAAGACACAAAAAACCTGCAATAAATTCAACGATAGCACATTTTAATTGATTGAAACTGCAATGAAAAATATCAAGACACGGCCTATCATCGTTTTTAGAAAGACAAAATTTTAAACAAAAACACGACAACAAAACACACCATTTTTAAATAATTCAAATGTTTGAATTGTTTGTTACATATTTAAATAAAATAATTAACTATAAATTAAATATAAGAATGAGAATATGTTTTTCTTGGCAATTAACAGAAACATAAAAGAAATACTGTTCTGTATTCTTTGCATTCATCTTAAATTGGCAAGAAATCAATTCAAAAGTACCACAATGAAAAATGATTCATCCAAAAATTGTATGCATCTCTGTCACAATAAAAGTGAATCAGCAAAAACAGGATTTGATTCATGTGTGTTAGTCAGACTCATGTTGATAGTTTATTTGACTTTCTTAAAGCAATTTAGTGTTTTAATTGTTTAATTGTTATAATAATAATAATAATAATAATAATAATAATAATAATAATAATAATAATAATAATAATAATAATAACAACTTAAGAATAAGGCCATATTAATTTAATTGTTTGTCTCAAAGCTCTCCTGTTTCCAAAAACCTAATGTGGAAAGCAGGTTTCTTTTAGCGTTTTTTTGTAAATATGTTTTGATTAAAATATTTTGATTGTTGCTGGGTTTAAAAGGAACGTTACAGGCAGTGTTTAAGTTGCCATTAGCCAAATAGCCAAATCCTTATAAAAGTTGAATTTGGCTAAATATTTTCATTCTAAATAGCTAATGGAATTAAGCTGTAATTCCTTATATTCTCTTGTTTTGGCTAATCAAATTTCTCTTTGGCTAATTATTTTCATACTGAATTAGCCAAATTGCTAAATATTGTTTTTTTGCCAGCTTAAACCCTGACAGGGCTCTATTCACTTAAGAATTACAGTGTGTCAACACACAACATGTTGTAGGCTGTTAAAGAGGGTACAATTTGAGAGAGATATATACTTTTTTGAAAAAAAACTAACTACTTTTTTAGGCAAGAACAGCGCACATGAATTTACTAATGCATGCAGGAGCTTTGAGACAAATAATAATAATAATAATAATAATAATAATAATAATAATAATAATAATAATAATAATAATAATAATAATAATACATTTATAATGCCCCAATTTCAAAAATGATCAAAGGCGCAGTTTATCCTTGGCATTTGTTATATGTTTCCTTTCAGGTTATTTTTTAATATTTCACCACAATGTTTCAAGACACTTGAAGATGTTTGCAATAAATAGTACTGTCTAATTTCTGTAAACTCCCAAGTTGTTAACTTGTTTTTATCATTTTAAATAAGCAATTTAGTGTTTTAATTGATTATCTTTTATAGGATTTCACTACAATGTTTAAAGACAATCAAGTTCTTTATCTTCAGTTGTTAGCAATGTAGTTACTATAATTGTAATCTTTTTTTAAACTTAACCACTACTTTACCAACTTTTAAAAGACACTGAACCTAAAGATATTTGCAAAAATGAGTCAGCAAAAATTTCAAGTTCTTTATCTTCAGTTGTTAGCAATGTAGACTATAGTTATAATCTTTTTTAAACTTAACCACTACTTTACCAACTTTTAAAAGACACTGAACCTAAAGATATTTGCAAAAATGAGTCAGCAAAAATTTTAATGTTTAAAGTGTGTCACACTCTAGTTGATAACCTGTTTGATCTTGTTAAAAGTTTGTAAAAGGGAGTTTGCAAACAAAATTAATAATATCATCAATTAAATTATTGTCTCTACATGCTTAATTCACAGCTATTTCAACAAGGCTAAAGAAATACCATTTTGTACTTTATCATATTTTTATTACTACTACATCATCATCATCATCTACAGTAGGCTACGTTCATCCACTGCTGGATGAACTTCCATTTCTTTCTGTCTTCTGCCGATCTATTCCATGATGTCATTCCCATATATGAGGTTAGTTCGTCTTTCCATCTTCTTATCTGCCTTCTTCTCCTTCTCTTTCCTGTCCGTGGTTGCCATTCTGTTAGTCTCTTTGTCCATCTGTTGTCTTGTTATTACTACTGACTTAGACTTATTTATTTTTGTAAATGGATTACAATATATTATGAGTGAAGTTCTGAACATATTACTTTATTAATATTCGGTTTGGTTGATTTAAAGTGAATTTTAGAAATTGTTATTATTCCGACTATCTTCCAATTAATCATCTAATACATAATATATTCATCAGCATTCAACTCATTATGAACACACTTAGGGTATGTTCACACACACGGTGCAAGACTGGCGTAGCTTACGCCAGCGTAAGCTAATCCACAGATTAAAATTTCAAAGTGTTCACGCAAACGGCGTTCGCTATAACGCTGGCGTTAAAACTAGTAGTAATATAGGCCTATGGAGGAATAGTTTTCAGTTTGAATTAATGTACGGGTTCTTAACTGTAGTAATATATTTACAGTGCATCATTAACTCTTTTAAATATGTGAATTGTTCGAAGTGAACTTATATGATTATTGTATTTTAAATGAACAATTTTACTCTGATTTTTAAGCTAGCATTACAATTACTGATGTTGCAGATTTTTAATAGACAGTCTAAATAGGTTAAAATATCTTACAAAACACAACCAACAAATTATATACATTGTAAACTAATTAAAATGCAATAGAAAAAGAAGCCCTTCACCATTTCATTTATAGAGAGCAGAGGAAAGAGATCAAAGTAACTAATCTATTGCAATCGTGATTGGTCAATCTCTTGAAATGAGTTCAAATCATTCAAGCATCACTGGCATTAGCTCCATGGTGTTAACTAATCTGGGGTCTGCAAGTAGCCTTAATAACGAGTGGCGTAAGTAACACCACTGCCTAGTTCACACACAAAGGCGTACACTACGCCAGGCTTACGCCAGCTTTACGCCGTGTGTGTAAACGTACCCTAAAAAAGTATCGCCATATGCAATTAAATGACCTACCGTAAAACCTTGAATTGAAGCCCGGGGCTTCTTCTTTGATTTGTGAACTTTGGATGGGCTTCCTTTCGAGATGGTGTAAATTTTGTGAATTTGTACTATAAAACATTAAATAAGGCCACTGTAACATCAATCTGTATTATGGAGTGTAATTTAGCGGCATTAAATCATCTAAACCACTGGTTATAAACCAAGCTAGTTTTAAATTTATTTTGTTTTTTTGAAATTTATGTACAGTGTATATACTGTACTATCTCGAAAAGAAGATTATGCTATTTTGAAAAGAAGCCCATGGGCCTCTTTTTGAGGCTACTTTTGCAAACTAAAGAGGGGGCTTCATTCAAGGTGGGCTTCATCTCAAGATTAAGCACATCGGGCTTCAATTAAAGGCTTACCAGTATATACAGTAAATTCACAATAACCATTATCAACAACACCACCCTACAAACACCTGGCAATCAAAGACCTGCTCCTGCGTCACTTAATTTGTTTAAGTTTCATTTAAGCTTTTATTCAGGGTATAAGGATTCTGTGATTAACATGGCTTTCTATCTATAGAGGCCCTGGTACTTACGATAGCCAGTAGAACAATAGCACAATATTACACAATAACAATACAATGTTAGGCCATTACATACAATAGGAACAGCTCCTTCTCTCAACACGCAACAACCAAGTAGAATTAAATAGTCAGTCTGGTTCAGCTTCATTTCTTTATCGTTCTCAGCTTTTTACTTATAAATATTCTGTGAATGGTTACACCCAAACAGAATTTCCATATTTTGGAGAATACAATAATCTTGAATCTTGAATCTTATTAACTATCTTTTTTCTATATAATCAATATCAATATAATCTTTATTCATCCCACATGGGGCAATTCTTAAAAAACAGGACTGAATACATATGGATAGATTGATATGGTTTAATGATTATTTACCATTAACATAAAATGATCACAATTACATAAAAAGAACAGGCTGAAATATGTACTGTATGTTTTGACGTTCGCTTGAAATTACCACGACAGTCATATTTTGAAATAACAAAATAATGTAAATATTTACATTTCTAATGTAATATACAGCAGTTAAATTGATGTTCATACTAGTAAAACAATAACAACAATAATAGATGCTTATAACAAAACACTTTTTAAAGGTACTTAACACATTTTTAGTAGTATGACCTTTCTGCATGTTTATTTTAACATTTTTGTTGCTTTCTGGTTTTTCTTTGATGTCAAACCAATTTTGCCTCTACGTCATGCATATACTGTAGGCCACAATCTGATTCCTCTGGTTGTACATGTAGCACATTATTCAACCTACATGGCAAGGCTACAAGTTGTTGGCATAGCAATATTCAAGTTCATGAGAGCTCTTTATAATCAGCCTAACTTTAAGAAACATTCGCTAATTTCATTTAGCAAAAACACTGTTAAATAGGCCTTTACTATGCCGGGGTGAACGGCCAATAAGCAGTTATGTATTGAACATACTCCAGCACTCGTAAGCATTTCTTAAGTGACATTTGGATAAGCCGAGCGGACAGATTATTGTCGATTCGTTCCTAGCAGAGCTGCAAAAACGTCACCGGATCCGTTAGTTTCATTCATGTGCACGCCCAAGGGACAAATAAAAATAAGAGACGTGGACTGAAGCGCTATTTAGAATGTGGAATAAATCGTCGGTAGGAGCAAATTCTCAGCTGACAAATTGCGTTCATTTTGAAATGTTGTATGTAAGAATAGATAAAAATCAATGAGAAAGAACGGTCGCTCTCACAATTTTCGATAACATCACTATTCATATCGGCCATATGGACAAGTAACAGTAAGTAACAAATAGGCAAGTACTTATTATGGGCAAGTAACATATGGCGACATTTGAAAAAAAATCTTCTGGATTTCACACATTTCTTAGATAATAAAAAGCGACACTATAATAGGTTATTCAGATTTTATTGCACTTTGAAGCGTATTGACTAGTTAATCGCGATAGTGTAGCTTATCGTGAATGATGTATTTCTGTATGAAGTTTCAGAAATCATACACAGAAGATTTCTAATAAAGCTTTTTTCACAATCAATATCGACAAGAATAATAATGGAATGGAATTAATGAAAATTGAACTAGCCATTTTTTTTTCATCAGCTGAATAGTCTTTTTTTAAAGTGGTAGACAATCAAATATTATTTTTTTTAGTAACTTAAGTGACACTAATTGACTATAAAAAATATTCATTTGTAAGGAGAAAAAAAACAACATTGTATTCAATTACCTTAAAAATGTCATCCACAAAAATTGACCGTCCTTGAGTTTGAGACGTCTGCAAAGATAAACAATATTTAATTAGCTTTGATGAGCGATTTGAATTTTTTTTTTGTACTAACGGAAAATGCATCAATACACCATTAAGAAAACGAAGGTAGATGAGTTGCGAAAAACGTCTGTACCAACAACCTGCAAAAAATACATTATGCATCTTTCTTGCACAATTTATGAAATTGCTTCCCATAAAATGAGATGAAGACAAGAACAATGTAAAATTGATCGAGTTCGTTGTACGAAATAAACAATAAATATAATTGAACTCTGAATAAAGGCAAGGTCAATATGAAAGACTGTAATTTACTTGCAGCAAGTTGTAGAAAAATGGCAAAGTTAATCTTGAATTAATTTTAGAGATTGAAAACAATATAATCAGTGTGGTTAAAGATTAAAATATACAGAATATAATCGAACATAACCAATATCCTTAATATTAAAACAATATCAATAGAAGTATGTAATTATACAGCAATAGTTATCAAATGATCAATAGTAATATTCTAACTAATCAATAGTAATCCATAAATCTCAATAATAAATATTTAATTTCATGACATGATCAATAATAATCAATATTGATTAATATTACTTTATTATAGCAATCAAATGATTAATAGTAATATGCTGATTAATAGTAATCCATATATCAATAATAATTAATATTCAATTTCCTGACTGATCAATAATAATCAATATTGATCAATATCATTATTTATTATAGTAATGAAATGGTCAATAGTAATATGCTAACCAATAATAATCTATATATCATATTAACAATAATTAATATTTAATTTCATGACTGATCAATAATAATCAATATTAATATTAATGTAAACTTTTATTTATATCCTGATATATAATAATTAATATGCTAATTATCGCTATTAAAACCAATAGTAATCCATATAATTTATGATTACTTTAATTCACCATATCAATAATTATCAATATTTAATTTCCTGGCTATTCAATAATAATGAATATTGATCATTATCATTTTTGAACATAATTAATGTAAAATTTAATTTATATGCTGATACATAATAATTTATATGCTGATATATAATAACTGATATGCTAATACAGTAATCACTATTCAATATAATTAATATAATTATAATGCTAATTGATTGATATGCTGAGCAGCATAATTTTCAGACGCAAAACAAAAAATAATACTAACTAATAAAATGTTGAAATTTTAGTAAACATTGAACATGAACAATAAAAATTGATTTAAATAAAAACCATATCTTTACTACAAATAAGAATGTCAATCAAAAACAATTATTGTAATCTACCACGTTGCTAATATGATTTATAGCCAGGGGAAAAATGTATTGATAATTCTACAAATAACAAAACTACATTCTACTATTATTAGTTAAGCACCGATTGATGTCTATTAGTATTACTCAAGATTTAAAAATATCTACATACACATTGGCAATGCTTCGATACATTAGACAATAGTGATAAAATATAGAGTAATTATGTTACTGTCAATGCTGTGATGTCATCGAGTGATCGATCACGTCAGTAGCCACGTCAATGAAGCTGTCGCTCAGACAAACCCACGGCGTTCAATTGCAACAGTTCGCTATAATTGAGTGCTTTTTTGTTGTGCATCAGTATTATATAGCCGTAGCTCAATTATCGGTGATTGGTGGTAAGACCACGCTGTTGACAAAGATGATGTTGATAATGAGAGCTGTTACGCAAGAATGATGCGGACGGCAGTGTACGCTATTTCAACCAACTAATGGTGTCAATAATAACTCAAGTGTTGTGTTTTCTTTTTACGAAAACCTGAACCGTTTAAATGGATAGCTTATTAAACAGGGTGTATATCTACTGACTAGGAAAAACCGCTATGGTTATTTCATACAACAATTTCCTGTGGAAGAATTAACGCGCCCCTAAAAAATAGGAAACCTTACAACGTACCGACAAAATCATCTATAAAAATCTAGGCGCAGTCTTTAATCCTTTTCTTGGTAATTTGACTACCAAAAATTTGAGAACCGTTTGTTTTTTAATTTCAAAATAAACACACCTGTATATGCTATACCATTATCTTCTTTTAATTGGTGCATCCATGATGATAGCCATGTCTAATCCAGGGGGAAAATTCAACACCCATGGGCCTGATAAAATAAAAGTCTTATATAGCGCAGGTTGAAAATCCAATACAGATGGTTAGAAAAGTCCAGAAAAACTTGGATCGGTCGTCAGCCAACTTTATGCTACTGATAATTACTATATTTTTAATCAATGGTGCATTATAAATTAATATTACTATTATCAATACCATTATTATACCTTATCATTACAATCCTCTTATCATCAATACCAAAGTCATTCATATCATTATAAAATTAATATTATATTGCTACTTTGTTTAAAGATACATGGCTTATACGGAGATAATAAAATACAATTCAATATTGATTGAAATACTTTAGATTTCAATTTAATATGTAGAATTTCCTTGCCTTTTAAAACAGAACTATAAATTGTACTTCTTTTGTAAAATTCTCTGCACAAGTCTTTAAATGGACTAGTAATCAATTTTAAGGATCCAAAAGTCTATAAATCAACGGAAAATTAAATGTTTTGATCTGTGCTACCTCATTGGAAGACGACAACTCATTTGATTATTTTCGATGTGTAATTCCATGCTTAAATAAAACTTTTGATTCTATATATCTTTAATAATAATATGAATAATAATAATAATGACATAATATCCATTAATAGTACCCTAGGTTTTTATGTTGTTACGCTTTGAATCACTTCTTGATCTAAGAATAGGTCAAAGATGAAATTTAAACATTGTTCTGATATTGTTGCTAATTTTCTCTACTTAAAATTGCTGCTGGAAATTTACAAAGGTTAATGATAACTGATTATGGCATATACTATTTTGATGATATTTATAAATAAAGTAGTTATAAATGAATGAATTAAAATGCAATTAAATAGATAATAATAGATTAATTAAAATTGATATGGTTAATAATAAACGATTAAGTGGAAAGAATGTATGAAATATTTAATATATATATGTCAATATATTAAATATTTCATATTTAATATATATGTCAATATATTAAATATGAAATATTTAATATATTGACATATAAATGATCTGATAAACAATTGAATGAACTGAAAAATTAAAAATGTATGAATTAATGAATGAAGGATTGGATAGACATCTGAATGAATGAATGAATGAATGCATAAATGAATGAATGAATTGGTGAGTAAATGAAAGATGAATTAATAGAAAATGAATGAATATGAATGAATAGACAAACATGAAATTTCATTATCATCTGCTCGCTTTATTGTCGTTTGTAGACATAGCGTTTACACCCTTTATGATCAGATGATTCCACCCTTTTTTATGAAATTGAATTTATAAAGGAATAAATGAATGAACAAATGAATGAATGAATAAATAAACAAATGAATGAATAAGTAAATGAATGACGCATTAATAGATAATAATGTATAGACAAATAGACAAATGAATATCTGAATATGTATAGATGAACAAACGAATAGATAATGAATGTAGTTAGATAAATAAATGTATGGATAGAGTGAATGAATGAATACATGGATAAATGAATGAATGTATGTACTCATGTGAAAAAATTATGGTATAATTAATTGATGACTGAAAAATCTTAAGTACTGTACGTTTCAGAAAATAAAATGAATTTACACAGTTTGCTTAAATATTTAAGTATTTATATAAACAATGGTACAAATAGAACGTTTCAAAGATATTGTGCAACTTCAATGAGCGCGAGATGATAGAAATAGGTAACCAAGACCGCAAATTAATTTAAGGGTTTATTTAGATTGCAATAGACAGTGTGAACATTGTGCGTTAGCTCTTACGCATGGCGGATTCTCACTACTTAAATCAATCTGTTATTTCCTGAGCTACGCAATGAATCTCACGACCACTAAATTGGAGCAAGCCTTCCATCTTGCAGCAGGCTTGTATTTCTCGTTACTTAGCGCTTACATGATTTTACCGTATTTTTCCTTTCTGATTTGCCGTCTCATCTAGCTAGTACTTGCGCAAAGACAGACAATGGAGAGTACACAAAAGATAGGCAATTACAGATGAAACACACAAATAGACAAGAAAATAAACATATACACAATACATTCACGTATAAATAAATAACCAATGAACGTCTTACTGTAAGTGTTACATAAGTGCATTTTGCGAGTTCATAAAATAACATAATGTGAATTATTATTACATTTATGATGAATATACAAACTATAATTTGCATATTTTGTTTGCCCAAATGAAACCATAGCTTTAAACACTCTATTGTTACACACCAGTTACAGTACTGATAAAAATATGATTTTAGAAAATAAATGATTTAGGGAATTAACAAGAGGGGATAATATATATTAAATATTAACTTTTGTAAAGTGGATGTGCATCATTGTATTTCTCAGTAAAGTGTTGTATAATTCATATATTATTTAATTATTAATATTTACATGGAATAGCCTTAAACTCTGTCTACACTATTAAATTTTCTTTCATACAAAACTGTTGTATGCCCATATATTGTCATGTTATGCCTATATATGGTCATGATGTGAAGTCACCATGTCCATATATAGGCATGTCACATGTTTTTGTTAAATAAAATTTGAGTATCATAATTTTACTGAACTTGTATACCCATATATAACATGATATGCCTATGTTTGGTCATGATGTGATGTCATCATGACCATGTTTGGTCATGATGTGATGTCATCATGACCATATTTAGGAATTTCCTCATGTTTTTTTTTATATAGTGAATAAAAGTAATTAAAATATGAAGTATTTTACTCCTGACCAAGCATAATGTCATTGTATTATCAAGTGGAATAGATATTATCATAAATGAGTTTCTGTAATAACGTATTGTGCGTGGTACGCGGACAAAAAACGGAAGTGCTTAATTTGAAGTCATCAAGAGGTGGATGAGCTGTAACGCTAATTATTTACTACAGTATATTTCACTGCAGATTATTTGTCATGGATGGGTGTTCTTTTCTATAGTTATTTCCTCAGCACATTTTTCAAATTCTATCCCATTTATTCTAACTTTGTGTGGTTATGTTTGTATAATTACAAACTATAGAGTAGATCATTATATATTATAGAACAATAGATTACCTGAGACTATAGAGTAGATTATTATATATTATAGAACAGTATAGGTGAAACTACTGTACTATCATGAATTATAATGTAATATGGGATTTTCATAAATTAGCTTTTTATTTTTTATTAGGAAATGTATCCTTTTCTTCTTTAGATACAAGATTATTTTATTGTCCGAAAAATCAGAAAATTGTTTCCACTGGCAATTTCACAAAGCATAAAGTACACAGTTACAGTTGATAAATAAAAGACTATATACTAGATTAGTATGTAAAAATATAAACACAATACAAAATCTATACATGATAAACTGACAACATTTAAATAGGCCTAAATTGCATTTAACAGCATCTTTTAACATTAGTATTGTGTACATGAATAGAATTAGGATTGGAATTTATGGCAGCTATAGTATAGTATAACCCAAGCATTTTCATCTTGAATTGTTACCTATACCATTCTAAAAATCATTATTGTTATAATCAAATCATATTTCCATCATCACAACCATTTTTATCATGAGTTTTCATTCTGTGAGCATAGACCCCCCCTGAAAAATAATTAGTTAATTTATTCCTCCTGAACCACATGTAGTCAGGATTTACGAATTTAGGAAATGTTTAATGTTAAAAAACACTCCTGATCCTTAATTGGATATAAATGTCACCGGACGTTTCATTTAGCTTCCGGCATCCATGCTTCCCATAGCAACCACGTTTTCCTCTCATAGCAACCAAGCTTCCTTCCCATAACACCTGTGTTGCTGAAGGTTCTATAATTGGATTACTTGTTCAGTTAAATGTTAATGCAAGAATAAATTACTACTGCAATACAAACATACAGTACTGAAGAATTATGAGGGGGAAGGGAATAAAATAAATTCTTATGACAAAATAAAACTAAATTGTAATTATAATTGGATTAATTATTTAAACGTTAAATGCAAGAATACATTACAAGACATACATAGTAAAGAATTATGTAGGATTTGAAAGTTCAGAGGCGTAAAATATTTTTTTTAATGACAAACATAAAATTAACAGACAATATATTATTACAATGCCTGTTTTTATAAAATTTAATTTGTACTGTAATAGATAAAAATAGAAGTCAGGTATAATATTTCTATGTCAGACAAAATATAACACTAGGTAATTTTAAAAATAGTAGTGTAAAGTTTAATAGCCCCTATTGCAATGATTGTCTCGTAAATTTACGCATTTTAATATATTGGTCTTAATAAGGTATGAAATCAAATTATTAAAAATATTGTTCAGTCATTATGTTATTGTCAACAGATGGAGTTATAATCAAATTCTACTTTAATTGCGAGTATGCATAGGATTTAAACAATGGTTTCTACCTAACAGAGGAGCTGGTGATTTACATCACAATTAATGGGGTTCAAAGTTGTGGAGCAAAAACATAAGTTTGCTAGCTATTCAAGTAATACTTTTTTATGACAATGAAAATGAAGAAAAATTGAGTTATGTCATAACAATAAATCATAATAATACATTTTTCATTATTCAAATATATTCCCGATATAAGGGAAATTTCAAACGAGAGACTGCAGTCAATTTAAATCAAAACAATAATTATATTAGAAATCAATTTCTTTCATGTTACTAAAATTTTTAGTATCTCATCATCATTAGCCTTCTTAAGCTGGACTACACTTATCAGATATTTATTTGTCAGATTTAACAATGCTGTAGAGTATTGCCTACCATCACAGAGATATGGATAAACACATTGTTTGTTCACATTTGTCTCAATTAAGCATGTTGCATACTACTTTATGAAAAGTCTGATCAGACATCTGACAGATAAAATATTATAGTGTATGCTATTTTATATACACACTGGTGCCAATAAAAATATCTCATCAAAGAAAAATTTACAAAGAGAAAATACTGAGTGCTGACCTTATGTAGACTTTATTTCATTTTTAGCTTAAAGTTCTTTCTACACTATCAAACTTTAATAAAGTGACAAATTTATGTGATGACATTTATTTGTCACATGAAATTTGATAGTGTGGACTGGAGCTTCAGGCGATGATCACTTTCAATACATGTCCTGAGTGATTGCATAATTATGGTATCCTTCTAAAGTGGAGCCAATATTTCTTTCTGACAAGTAACTCTTGCTTTATAGCGGAAAGGGCTAACTGCCAAGATCTTTCCAAGCAAGATTGGATTAGAAGAGCGGGTTCATAAACAGTGCCATTAAGAAGCCAACAATTAACGCGTTTGTTGTGTAATTGACTCGTAGCAACCTTGGGTGGGACACTAGGGAGAACACATATGGAACGGATTCTACCGTTAAGTTCGTGTTACTATTCGAGAAATTCCTTATCACACTAAAGGACTTAATAATATTTTAATTGTATGGGAAATACAGTTACCCTTGCACACAAGGGACAAATATTATCTTTGCAAAGAGCTACATTGGCCAAAAAAAGTAATGGCAGAAATCGGTACGAATGCTCATGGGACAAACACCGTCACTAATCAACAATGGTGCTACAGTAATATACAAGTTGATGGAGTCACCGGTGACGATGATGATATTGAAGTTGAGGACATTGATGGTGATGATAAAAGATAACATGATAGATGATGATGATGATGATGATGATGATAATGATGACAGTGTATTGATGATTACATTAATGATAATGGAAGATGAAATAATGATGACCGATATGAAGATGGATGACAATTATTTTAGTATCATTGGTTTTCCATTTTCCTTTTAGTCTGTATTTTTGTAAGTACCATAGTTCTTGTTTAGTACCTTTTTTATAGTTAAGTTTTCATGATATAGGGTATGTACAGCCTCATGGAAGAACACCATCTTGGTGAATGAGCTTTCTTTGTCAAAGAAAGATTTTATTATCATTTACTATCATTATGACTAAGATGACGATGATGATAATAATGATATATTGGTATGTTCAATAGAATGTTATAGTTGAACCTCCCACGTGTATGTAAACCTCATTACCGAACAGATTTCATGGCAAATGGTCAATAAGAATTCAGATCAAAGGTTAAATTAACATCAAATGTTAAATTTGGCCTTTTCCACATGTATGCATAAGAAAGAATATATTCTTGTGTTCATATGATCTCATTTTGGCTAATAAGATTATACTCTTGAGTTCATATCATCTCATTTTGGCTGAAAAGATTTCAACGCTTTTATTTTTAAGTTTTCATTTACATTTCAAAACTATTCATATTATTTTTAGTCTAACTTTTAATAATAAGCATGTAAAACAGAAGTACGAATTTCCACTATTATAGATATACTGTAAAACCTCGAATTGAAGACCAGTGGGCTTAAAGTAGAGATGAAGCCCATCTTGAATTGAAGCCCTCCCTCTTTAGTTTGCAAAAGTAGCCTCGAGAAGAAGCCTATCTCAAAAAGAAGCCCATGGGCTTCTTTTCAAGATAGCGTTAGGCTTCTTTTTGAGATAGTACAGTACAAACACTGTACATGAATTTCAGAAAACAAAATAAATTAAAAACAAGCTTGGTTTATACAGTAGTTTAGGTGATTTACTGCCATTTAAATACACTTCATGATATAAATTGATGTTACAGTGGCCTTATTTATTGTTTTAATTCACAAAATTTACAGCGTTCATTTTGAAAAGAAGCCCATCTTGAAAAGAAGCCAATTTAAAAAAAGAGGCCAAGAGCTTCAATTTGAGGTTTTATGTTATTTTCTAAAGGCTGTATTCCATAAAAATGCTACATACTATCACAGGCTGTTTTGGCAGAGTTCCACATTACGTCAGAGGCAGCAATGTTATGGAAACCAGTTTTAAAGTAAAGTAGATTTAACCCTAATTAATTCCTATAAAGGTAGGCTGTTAAAAAAATTATTTTGGTGAAAAAACTGCATGAAATAAGCATTAAGAAATCCTACCTTGGACAATGGAGGTATCTCGATTTTGAGTGCACTTGGCTGGCTATGTTGAGATAATGACCCTAAAGCCGAATCCTCCTCATCCACGTCAAATATGCTCGATTTTGAATCGCTTAGCGTGCTGAAATTAGCCATGTTTTTTACGTCCACTTCATGCCTTGTTTCCGAATGTGAAAACCTAGAACTTGACGAGGAATCCTTTGACTTTGATTTTGATTTCTGTTCCGTGTGTTCCGTTTTTTGCATAACTTTGGGCGTTGTCTTTGCACTGTTTGAATTTGGCTCGATCTTCACCGTGTTCAACGCACGTTGAGTTGACGACTTCTGAGAATGAGTATGGCCGGCAGGCTTGCTTTTTTCTTTGCTGGCAGGCGATTTTAGATTTTGGGTACGTTCTGATTTCACTGGTGTGGTTTTTGTGTCCTGTGTTTTGGTGTGGGAGGACGATGATGAAGAGCGATGCTGGGATGAACTTGATTGGACGGCCGGGCTGACAACGTTTTTAGTCTTCCCAGGATGCTTTTGGTGACTATTACTACTACTAGAAGACTTTCCCTGACTGCTACTTAATACACCATTCTTTTTTATTTTACTATCCTTTCTGGAGCTGTCTTTATTATATGGCGAAGATGACTTAGACTTACTCTCTGTTAAAGAGTTTGGAGTTTTTGGACTGCTTGTGCGAAGGGGATGGGTCAATTTAATTGTTGTCGGTGTCGCTAATTGGTTCGGCACACCAATAATGTTGCTTGAGGGGATGGATGAATCTATAATTGGTCGGAAAGTCTTGTATGGTCCCAGAACATTTTGGAGACGAATTTCCATATCATCAGTTGGATCCGCAACCTAGTAACAAAAAAAAACATAAGTGATGTTACACTACAGAACCCGATGAAACTATTTGAACATGATATAGAACACAAGAATTGACAAAATTTAAAGATGATTTAAAAGTTTTTAAAAGAAAAATGTATTGCTAAACTCTAACATCTCCATCAGTGATACCAATGTAGTTGAAAATAGAGGGAGCTCACAGATGACTAAAGCCAACCATTTTATTTGACAAAAACATGTGACATGCCTAAATATGGGCATAATGACATCACATCATGACCATATATGGGCATACAACAGTTTTTCTTTTGTTGTCAAAGAAATTTTGATAGCCTGGACAAATCGAGCTTTATATAAATTGAGGGCCTGACCATCCCAGACCCATGATGGTTGGGGATGAGGTACAACATCTTATGGCAATGACAGCTCTAGATGGCTGGAAATCACACATTGAATGTAATTCCCCTTCTTTCTCCTTTATTTACACCAACTTAGAGACCACTCCTGAATCTACCTCTGCATGCATATGAACGTTAAAATATGTTCATGATACAAGTAACAGTACATACATAACATTATTTATATAGTGCTATTTCATGACGATCAGAGCGTTCAAAGCGTGGACTACAGTAGCTATTACAGTACTTTCTTCTACCCTAAGGGTCCCTTTGTGTCTCAGCTGGCCGGTAAATTGGTACCAGCTACTCTCGTCTGTCTGCAACAGTACTTAATAAGAACTATATCCATCATGAAATTGAGATGGCATACACAAGATAATAGTTTGCCAAGTGATTCTAAAGAATTTGCTTTAAATAACAATTTGACTGGCAAACGTTTCTATCGCGGTACAACACTTTACCACTGTCACAAGTAATATCATTTATTAAATTCATTAAATTTACTCAAGGGTCTTAGTACTTCCAAGTAGTGAACCGCAAATTTAATAACTCAAAAATGAAGGGTGAAAAAAAGAAATGATTAAATACATCTGGGATATGCTAATCACCAAATTGTGAGAATTTTATTTCATTTCGCTAAAGGCTTTAGGAATTCCACAACGGAAACCAATATAACTGAAAGGATTACAAGTAAAAAAAAATATTATTGGGTGATTTTGGCTTGTAGTGATTATATAAAAAAGTTAACCAATCCTTATACAACTCAAAATAAATGTCTACATGTATATGAATGATAAGTTAAAAGTTGTAGTCCCACAAGCTTATATCACCATTTTGCTGAGCCCATGGAGATTACCTTTTTAGGCGAGATAAACATACATTAGGCGAGATAAACTTACAAGATACTACATTCTAGGTTGTTACTGACTTCAGTTTTATTTGCTTTTTATTTTATACTTGTACTACTTCAATTATTTTAATTTTCTATTCTTTTATATTTATATTATTTTTTATTTTCCGAACCACTTTGGAAATCAGTAAATTTTACTACTAAACTCACCCGGATAGGTTCTGTAAATGTTGGTGTTATGCGTTCCGGTTGCTTCATCATTTCTAGCCGTTCTTTGCGAGCTTTTTCACGCTCTGTTTCTCTTTCTCTCTCCATTGCACTGTAAAGCAAAAAGCAATTATTTGAATACATCGTCAAATAAAATTTTCTGTTTTTATTCATATTAAAGAATCAGAACTATGCAAATTAAGGTAGGTCTTTAGAATAAATAAAAACAGACAAGTTGAATAAAATTAAAGTTTTAATAAAACACATTTAATGTATATAGAAATGTTTGTGTTTTACGTATCTTATAAAACATCATGGTTTGTCATGAACATTAGTATCAGCACATTAAAAGTACCCTAGTAAAGCAAAGACATTATTAATGTTTTCAATAGCTTTATCCTCAGCAAAGCATCTTCAAAAACAGTGCACATTTGCATATAGCATTATGTATATAGTCTATTTTTATTTATGTTATCCAAAACATACGGTAATGGTCTGTTGTCACCAACACTCAAAATTATTAAGACATTAGCTACCACCATTTATGATGCACACATAATAATCAGTAAAACATCTTTAAAAACACATTGCAAAAATTAATATCTTATTTTTTTTTGCAAAATTACTATCTTTTTTTTATTTTTTTAAATAATTACTTTATATCTAGTAACTCAAGATATTGTTTTTATATTTAAACAAAGATGGCAAATGTACTACCATGTGATTTTTATGAAATAAAACAAAAGAATACATTTATAATTTGTAAAATTATTTAAAATATTTAGTATTATAAGGCAATATTATTTTCATATCCGAACGAAGATAACTGCCCAGTTGTTTCCTGGCAGGAAACACAGGTCACATGTACAATTGAATTTATTAACCAAGTTAAGCCGTCATTTATCGATAAACTTCAGAATCGCATTTAGATGACTACGGACTTAGTAAAACTGAAAACATGAGTTAAAGTACTTTACGAAATATATCCACATGATGACAACTGTCGTAAAAGATATTCTTGAGATCCTTCAACAAAATCACTACAAAGCCCTGTCCACACTATCAATTTATGTGACAAATTTGAAGATGCCACATAATGACAACTGTGGTAAGAGTAATTCTTGAGATACTTCAACAAATCACTATAAAGCCCTGTCCACACTATAAAATTTTTTGACAAATTTGTGGACGTCACATAATGACAACTGTGGTAAGAGAAATTCTTGAGATACTTCAACAAAATCACTACAAAGCCCTGTCCACACTATCAAATTATGTGACAAATTTGTGGATGTCACATAATGACAACTGTAGTAAAAGAAATTCTTGAGATACTTCAACAAATCACTATAAAGCTTTGTCCACACTATCAAAATTTGTGACATATTTGTGGATGTCACATAATGACAACTGTGTTATGAGATATTCTTAAGAGATCCTTCAACAAAATCATTACGAATCTCTGTCCGCACTATCAAATTTTATGTGGCAAATTTGAAGATGCCACATAATGACAACTGTGGTAAGAGAAATTCTTGTGATACTTCAACAAAATCACTATTGTACACACTTTGTGTGACATATTTGTGGATGTCACATAATGACATCTGTGTTATGAGATATTCTTGAGAGATACTTCAACAAAATCACTATAAAGCTTTGTCCACAATATCAAATTTTGTGTAACAAATTTGTGGATGTCACATAATGACAACTGTGTTAAGAGACATTTCTTAAGAGATCCTTCAACAAAATCACTACAAAGCCCTGTCCACAATATTAATTTATGTGACAAATTTGAAGATGCCACATAATGACAATTATGGTAAGAGAAATTCTTGAGATACTTCAACAATTCACTATAAGGCTTTGTCCACACTATCAAATTTTGTGACAAATTTGTGGACGTCACATAATGACAACTGTGTTATGAGATATTCTTAAAAGATACTTCAACAAAATCACTATAAAGCTTTGTCAACACTATCAAACTTGTGTGACAAATTTGTGGATGTCACATAATGACAACTGTGTTATGAGATATTCTTAAGAGATACTTCAACAAAATCACTATAAAGCTTTGTCCACACTATCAAAATTTATGTGACAAATTTGTGGGATGTCATATTTCACCCAAATTTTGTAGGTATTCTACAGTACAGGGTACAAATATCCATAAAATTGGATTATCTCCCAGTGTACTAACCATGTACTATAAGATGCATTTACATATTCGCATTTACTCGCCAAGAACATTATTGTGACAATTAACAAGACAAAATGTTACAGTACATGAATGTGCATTACAAAAGTATTATACAATGGTATGTGTATAAGTGTCAATTTTATGCTTTCATCTTTCAGGCCTTCTTTAAAACTATAGTTACCTTTACTATTTCAATAACTTGTTAAATTACACCCACAGGATGTACATTATAGGCTTTAGACTTTATTACTAGTACAGTATGTGTTGTTATCTTTCATGTCTATGTCTTTTAGTCAATATTAAAAGAATATAATATTCCAGGCAGGCTTCCTGCTACTAAATAAACAAAAGGATAAAGAAATAAGCTTTAAATAAAAATCACACACATCCAATACATAACATATTGCAAGTAAAATTGTCTTAACAATCATAAACAAATCAAACAGACATCAATAAGGCCGACTATGCATCATTTCAAAACCAGACAATAATCCCCCTAAGGATAAACATCAACAATAAACTTTTTTAAACCATCAATACACAGACTATTTCATTCCTACAAGGCCATGTAAAATAATAAAATTGTTGATCCTTTCATCAAAACGACTTTGCGTAAGGAGGGGAAAATGTTTAAGTGAGATTTACCCTTGTATAATAGTAAGGGGAACGATCAATATTTTTTAATTGGCCATTCCAGACCAATATTTCACTTCAGTTCATTTAAGTAGGTTAAACAAAATTGTACATAGCAAAATGATACTCAACCATGAAACCAAGTGGGATTTACTTCCTCAAGCTTGTATGTCAATGGTGAGAAAGTATCATCATAAAATACAGATAAAACTAAGATATTAATAATGCTCTTTGTGGTCGAACCTGGAAAATATTTCAAAAATCCAATAAAAATATTTAATTGCTAACTTTAAAAGGATAACAAATTATTAACAATGGAAAATGCCTCATGCAACCTTAGACTGTTTGCTTGTTATTTATTTTTTTCTTCATCTACATAAATACATAGCATGTATGTTATGTACTGTATGTATGAGAAACGGATCAAAGTTTTACTGGTTTACGTACATTTTTAATACGAAAGTTCATAAATTGGTTACCAACCATGAAAATTTGTTGTGATTCCAATTCACAATTTAACACGTTCGCTGCCAGGGATGCGAGTTCATGCCAATAGGTTTCACTCACAGCACCAAGGATGCGAGTTCATGTACACACGTAAACACATACTACTGTTCTGCTGCACGTAAACTCGCTGGCAGTGATCGGCAGAACGTGAACTCTCACCCTGGATGACCAGGGAAGACCCAGAAGTACTCCAGATCTCAAAATAAATATAATTATGTTTGTTCGTGTTTCATTACAGTTGATGGGGATGATTTTTTTAATTTTGGCCTTGGCGTATGGGATGTTAAATGGGAAAAAAGGCTTGGCAGTCTATGGGTGCGTTCGAGCCAGAAAAATATCCGTGCGAGGTCCGTGTATTTACACGGAAGTTAAATGCTGTGCGTGGCTCGAACGGGGGTAAGATGTAAAAAACATCTGGAACACGGTCGCCTATTTTGACCACCAAATTTAGGGTTATAGAACCGTGTATCGCTGTCAAAGGCCATTATCGCGACCATTAATCATGTTTTAATGACTCTACTGTCTGGCGGTCAACTGAATTCAATTCAACACGCGCGAAAACCATAGGCCTGTCCAGTTTTTCAAAAACAAATGCATTCGCTGACCTGTTGTTAATGTTATAGCATCATCTTCATCATTTCAACATGTCTGTGTGGACCGAACCTATGGATACGTTACCTTCTCTCATTGTGGTGTGGGGGGGGGGGAAGACAGAATACAAAGACAACTGAACGGCACCCGCCGAAACAGCGGTATTTACAAAGAAATAACTGCAAAGATCGAAGAAAAACTTAGGGGAAAGCTGACGGTGACACAGGTCACCAATATACTGAAGTATTTGCGCAGGGAGTACAGTACAAGTGCGTAAAGCGTGGTTAGAAACGTAAATATTGCGTGGCATGATGGGATATACTATTGCCTCGCTGACCTCAAACGAGTATTTCCGAGGTAAATTTTTACACGGTCAGACAAGATAAGTTTGTGCTCGAATGCGGGGACCCCCTGTGGTGTAAAGCCGTTCGTTTACCAGTCATATACACGGAATTTAATAGGCATGTATGGCTCGAACGCACCCTATGTGTGCAAGAATCTACCCTTACAAATTCCAATAGTGTACAGATTTTGCTATCTCAGTATTTGTACTATTAACTCTCATTAAAGTTGAAGAGTGCATAACCCAACAAACCTCTACTACCACAGCACCGCTGGTGGTAATTAAGTTATAATCAATCACATTTGGTAATACATTTTGCCAATTTAGGTTCAACTTTATACACTAGACATTGTGTGCTCCACCTAAGTATAATAGTTCAAGCCTGTTAGAACAATTGATGATTGGATGATTAATAAACTAAGCAAGGTATGTAAATTTATTTTTTGGAATGATATTTCTCTAAGAATATGGGGTAACAAAACTATATTGCATCCCACACAAACATCCCCATACACACCTTTTCAAACATATGAACACCCACATATGTATATATTTCCACATATTAAAAAAGGCAAATCGTGACGATTTGCAGGTAAGAAGCATAACAAAAATTATAATACAAAATTCAACATGATATCCACTGAAACACTAGGTGAACAGTAATAGGAATTGAACAAGAAACATAGAGACCCACAATTCAGCCTACACACAGTAGCTACCACCAGTGTAGCCGACTGAGATAAGCTACTCTCTTTAAAAGAATAATTTTTGTAGACATAAAACTCAATTCAATTATCTGAATTAATTACCTTGTACAATTAAGTCAGCTATT